TCAATTTCGTTACTCGTTACTAAAGAAAATATAACGTCGTTACTTTTTCGTTACTAATAAAAAAAAGTAACGGCGTTACTAAAAAAAAGAAACGAAAAAGTAACGTCGTTACAAGTAACGCGTTACTTCCCAACCCTGGCTATACCAGCTAGAATGCGTATACTGGATTATGATTTGCGATTCATAATTCAACATTATATGCGATAAAATAAAGTTTTGCTGAAGATGGCTCGAACTTGAGCAGAAATGTACATTTCTTTTTGATTGAAATTTGTAAATTAATATACATATATACATATACTGCGCAATATTAATTAATTCCAACGTTTGACTCCTAATAATCTTTTATTAATATAATTATTGTGTGTATTAGTCTCTTATTGTATGAATTGAAGGAATTACCTCAAAAAATTACCTTTCTTTATTTTGTTAGTATTTTCGAATAATAAGCTTATGTAAAATATGTATAAAATAGATTCGTGTATGATATTTCAAAAAATTAATAAAAATAAATATTGAATATTTTTTTTATTATAATTATAAATATTCTGTGCTGTCTAGACTGTTAATCATTCAATCATTAGAAATTATTCTTAATAAAACTATATAAACTAGTTATGGACTATTTTTTCTTAAAAACAAATAAACAAACATAAATTAAAGGCTATAAAGAGTCAAACGCAGTTAAAAATGCGAAAAAAATTTTAATAATCTTACAAATTAACATTAAGGTTATTAAAATGTTTTCGCATTGTTAACTGCGTTTGACTCTTTATAGCCTTTGATTTATGTTTGTTTATTTGTTTTTATTAGAAATCATCTTCTCTTGCTCCGTTTTAACAAAAAGATCAATGATTAATTATTTGAAACTAGCTAAGCGGAAGATCTACACTGCCAAGCCGCATTCACTACAAAAACGAAAGTCTACATATATCAAAAACATATCTTCAAGGCTATAGGAGTCCACCGCTGGTTGTTAAGATGCGTAATAAATTATAAATCTTGTAGTATCAACTCTCGTACGTTTCGACTTTATTTTTAAGTCATCCTCAGCACAATAATCGTTTACTTATTATTACCATCCTAGCACTCATCAAAGCAAAAATCGACGATCCACTTCAGTTTCATAGCTGAGTGATCTATATCTTTAATGCTAAAATTGTTATCAAATGATCAATTAAGTTAAATAAGTGAACCGGCAAATTCTTACCTCTACGAGAACCAGCATGACGTTTAAAACTATATTCCTTAAATTATACCAACAATTATTTATTTTTTATAATATGAATGACAGAATAAAAACGTTGATCAATAGACAGAATAAAGAAACCGAATTACAACCTATGAAGAGGGAGAAGATAAAGTGGTTTTCGATACCGTACGTGGAAAGTGTTTCTGAAAAGTTTAAAAACATTATAAATGGAATGTGTCAAAAAGTGTGTTTTTTTAGTATGAACAAACTTAATTATTTCATTAAAGCACAAAAAGATCCAATGTCTAGAGGTGCAAAAAGAAATGTAGTTTATAAGATCAATTGTAATCAATGTGAGGCATCATATGTAGGACAGACTGGTAGGAAACTTGATACTAGAATTGTAGAACACAAGAAACATATAAATAGTGTATCTTCCTCTCATTCTGTAATTACGGATCACAGAATGGAATTTAGCCACGAATTTGATTGGAACAATTGTGAAATATTGGATGTAGAGAGATATTATAATAAAAGATTAGTTGCAGAAATGATACACATTAATATCTATAGACAAAAGAAGGGATTAAACTTGCAAACAGACACAGATGCATTAAGTCATACTTACACAGACATACTTAATAAGATATAATTATTTTTATAATATGACCGAACTGACTTATATTGTTGTTTATATTGATAACGTTAGAATGTATTACATATTGATAAGTTAGTTGATTTGACTCTTTGTAATGGATATAATGTTTTAACGTCTAATTTGACAATAATTTTTAAAAAAATATGTTAAACACGTTTGTGGATTTGGAACAATTGTTGGTATAATTTAAGGAATATAGTTTTAAACGTCATGCTGGTTCTCGTAGAGGTAAGAATTTGCCGGTTCACTTATTTAACTTAATTGATCATTTGATAACAATTTTAGCATTAAAGATATAGATCACTCAGCTATGAAACTGAAGTGCATCGTCGATTTTTGCTTTGATGAGTGCCAGGATGGTAATAATAAGTAAACGATTATTGTGCTGAGGATGACTTAAAAATAAAGTCGAAACGTACGAGAGTTGATACTATAAGATTTATAATTTATTATGCAACCTAACAACCAGCGGTGGACTCCTATAGCCTTGAAGACATGTTTTTGATATTTGAAATATAAGGAGTTATTTACATTGAACGTAACATTAATTTATTAATAATTTAAAAGCCTACATATTTCACGTCCTGTACGACAATTGACCATAAAAACATAAAGGGAAGGAATGTTAATCCTTCCAGCACTATTCAATCTAGCGCCTAGCTAGCCTAGCCTGGAGCTTGGATTTTTCAACCAATCAGAAAAGCTTGTATCGTGTGGTGGGTGTGGCGTCTCTACAAACTGTTCCTACCTTTGTTGCTATGACGCTTCTGCGCATGCGCGCAACGCGATAGAGCATTTCACGTTATGACGTCATGTAGCAAGATGGCCGAATACTGGAGGACAAGTGTATACAGAAACCTTATGGGAAGATAGCTTATTTTTAAAATAACTCCGTAAGGAAGGGTTTTTCGAAAAAGTGCCAAGTTATAAAATAGTTTTATTTTTTTTGAAAGCTGTTAAATAAAATAATAATTTCGACATAAAAAAAATGATTGAAAATTTTTATGTCATTAAATAGCTTTCAAAAAAATAAAACTATTTTATAACTTGGCAATTTTTTGAAAAACCCCTTCCTTACAAAGTTATTTTGAAAATAAGCTACCGTCCCATAAGATTACTATACATATATGCTTGTCCTTCAGTATTCGGCCATCTTGCCGCATGACGTCATAACGTGAAATGCTCTATTTGTCGCTAAGCAATGTCTCGCCTCTCGAGTCTCGCGTAGCGTATTCGTCACCATTCGTTCTCAGACGCTCTTGAGTAACGGTTGTCTAGTATATTTTTTTTGTGAATATAGCTAATCCGAGTTTTTAAAAGTGAGGTTAGGCTTGTACGTGAGTGTACGTGATCGGTTGTACTTTGGAATTTTTATTGAAGACCTTCCGCTGTTTGGCTTCTTATTCTTATCAAAAAAAAAAGGCAATCCAAACCAAAAAAGAAAATGCCGAAGAAGTCAAATAAGATGTGGGGCAACGGCCGCAACAACCGAGGAAACGAAGTAGATAAGAGCTACTTCGGTAAGTCCCTTTTTTAGTTTTATAACCTTATCTTTGTTCACTGAATGTTGAAGAAGAATTAAGTGATACATCACGCTCATCATGTGTAAAATATAACACACTCTAGAACTCTCGCGTGCTTATAACAATGCTCCGTGTTTCATACGATTTCCAGCAGTCGTTTACTTGCATCTTTTACCACTCGTAAAGATTGAACTTCACTTACAGATAAGTTCGTTTGATCGTCAATTATACTTCGAGCCTCGTTCTCAAGATTACAATATGTAGTTATTTAGAGTTCTGGAAATCATGAGGCTGAAGCTGAAGCTATCGGCCGGCCGGGAGCGGGCGGCCCGAGCGGACGCATGAGAACCACTGCTCCGCTACCACATAAGCGCGCGGGAGCGCTTTCAAGTTTTGGTGGTGTTGCATTGCACTGTTACTTTCTAACAAATTATTTAAAATATTAAAACTGCACATTACGACCATTTTTGAGAGAATAGTATTTACAATAGTTCAGAGAAATAAAAAAGAGGTTACTTATGTGTTTCGCCGCCTAATTTTGAAAGATTCCATAAAGATGCACATTGAAAAACCTCAGGTATTTCGCAATTTTTTGTAAGTCGTCTTTTTATATATATAAAACAGAACAGCATTCTCATATTTTAGGCAGAATTAATTTCTGGTCATGAAAAATATTTTTTAGTGACCAAAAATTAATTCTGCCTAAAATGTGACAATGCCATATGATGCTGAAACCAGCAGTGGATTCGCAGCAGTGGATTCGGAAACGCAGTGGGTTCTCAACTTTAAAACAAAAACACCGTTAATTCGAATAAAACGTGAATGTACGTCACATAAATAATACAACACATTACATAATCATCCAAATCACCAAAAAACAGCATGTTGTACGTAAATTACCAACACTTTTTTCTTAGTACATATTTGAAAAATGATTTACGCCCTTAATACGCATCTAGTGCGTATCAGGTGCTATTTCGAGAACCAAAGTATGTTCGGGGCTGAAATTTTTATGAGATATTCTTAAGAGCATTAGAAATCAATCCCATTTTGCAGAAAAAATTAAAAAAAAAATGCGCGCGATTGTTACAACAATTTTAAAAAACATTCGACGTCCTCACATAACTGTTCTCACTTTTTAGCGCGTATCTCGAAAACCAGATTTGTTTTTTTGGCATGAAATAAAAACTTTTTAGATGAGAGCCCGATTTAAAAAAATTTTTTTGGTGTGTATTATATACAAGATGTTTACGTTGAACATTAAAAATATTAATTATATTCGAATTAATTCCTAAAAAAGTAATGATTATGTCATATTATTTTACTAATGTATATTCTTAGGTCATGATGATCGAGTAGGAAGACATGGGAAAGATGGAAGACACCAGGGTCATATCAAGCACCGTGTGTCATTTAAGACCCATACGCCTAACAACTTGACTCGTAATTTGACATTTGTTAATTTGGATGACGACATTCCGATGATGACTTCGAATAACAGTTCGAGACAAGTGATAATGAATTCGAATAATAGAGAACGAGGGGAACATTGGCGAACTGTTCCTCGTGGGAGGAACAGTCCTATGCCAAATAGAAATTTTAAGGGAGGTCAGTCAGGTCCTAGACGACTTCCTCCTTTGAGAGAATCCAATTGGTATAGAGTTAGTGTAAGTTTATTTCTGTGATATTAACTGAAGTACTTGCACAATAATATAAAATACTTAGTGCACCTGAAGTATCTACTTATACACTAATGTAAAATGATTATACAATAATTTAAATTTTTAATTATATTTTATAGATACCATATGGTCAGAAGTACGAAAGGGATTTTATTATAAATACCCTTTTGAATTACATTGCGCCCGATGTATTTGTACCCATAGTGGCAAGTAACACTTATTAGAAAATACATATTTTTTATTTAATATATACCTTATTATCTTTAAGTAATTTTTTTAGCTTTAATATAACAGTTTTTTTTAGATTTAATATAATATAGTTAAATTCAAGTGTAAAACCGTAAATTCTTATAGCTGAATTATAAAATTTATTTACAGTACAAAACATCTGCAACTGATGCCAGTTTCTACATAGACGATTATAAGACGGCAGTTGCATTGCAAAACTGTGATTATAAGATCAAAATGAGTGATGGATTTAAATTGCAAGTGAAAGTGAAACCAGGATTTCCAGTTTATGACATTGATGATAAATTGAAGGAAAGATTAAAACAAGCAATGGTTAAGAGATATGTACAAGATACCAATGCTTTGAATTTGTCCAAGTTCTATCTTGATTCTGGTAAGAATAAAAAGTTATGAAACTATAAGTATAATGAAGATGATAATGTATTAATTAAAAATATTAATTAATATAACTTGGGAGTTTTTTTTAACATAAATATATTTGTCTTATAGATCTTCGCTCTGATTACTTTTGTGCATTGTTCCATCCGGTTATGATGATGACTGTGTTGGACATTGTAGCGGAACACATACCGAATTTAGAAGCTTTGAGCTTAGAAGGAAATAAGTTGCAGAATATTGAGAGACTTAGTATACTGACTAAGAAATTCTCAAAATTGAAAATTTTATATATTGGTGATAATAAGGTGAGTTTATTTAAACAAGAAAATATAAAATTGTTTAAAATTGTCGTTAACATAATAATGCTCGGGCTTAATCTGAGTTAATTGTGTATTCTAGATCAGAGACATCCATCAATTAGATGCTATTAAGGATTTAAAACTGGAGGAATTGAAGTTAACTGGAAATCCTGTCTGTAATAAGTATAAATCTCGACAAAATGACTATGTTAGGTAATATATTGTTCTCTTTTACAGAGATACAGGAAGTATTAAAAATAATCTGTTAATTTCTCTTTCTCTCTCTGTTCATAAGATGGTATTCCGGCACAGATCATTTTATACTTATTTTGAAAACTTTCTTAGTAAACATTTTTTATTTAAAATTTATTCTCCATTAAATTAAATAGTATTTATATTAAATTGAATGCAACGTTTACTGTTATTTGTATAACAAAGTATATATATTTACTCTCAATTTTAATAATATATAAATAATATATAACATATAATTACTGTGATATATATATATATATGTATATATGTTATACTGTTATATACATAACAGTAATGTTCTATTTAAAGATGTAATGTATTTTTAAATTTTGTGAATTTTTATAAAACTGCTGGTATAATTTTTAAATTTGAAGTGAACAATTCATATTCTTCCTTATATTATTTGATAAATCTGTGTATTTTTTTAAACATTTTTTATTATATAGACGATCCGGTCTTTTTCTTTTTAATTGTAGTGATGTTCGAAGACGATTCTCAAGATTACTGCGTCTGGTAAGTATATCACGCACAGTTTTACATTTTTTAAATTGTATTTTTTTTATGTAACATATGATTTTATTTTGCTGTTCGTATTATTTGCAGGTTGGCACGGAACTACCACGACCGATTGTTTTCGATATGATGGATGAACCTGCTATAATTCCTTCGTCGCAAAGGATGTTTGTCCAAGATGCAAAAGCTAAAGAAATTGCAAGTCAATTTTTGCAACAATATTTTACGATATTCGATAATGAGAATCGTCAACCTTTACTGGATGCCAATAATGAACATGCATCCTTTAGTATGACAATAAACACTTTCAATAATAACAAGTAAGTATTTGCAATGTTGCAAAGTCTTATTTTCTCTTTAACAAGAAAATTCTCTACTCTGAAAAAAATAAAGGAAAGTTTCGTAACTTTTTATCTTTTAATGCAGAAGTTTTTACTAGACTAGAAAATGGTTTTAACTATTCTTGTGCTGTGGATATAGTTAAAAAAATTTTAGTATTAAGTGATGGTACAATCGGAAATTGTTTAACCAAAATTATTTTTGTTACAGGTTAAATGGACATTATTTAGAAAATCGAAATTTACTTAGAGTAAATGATACGATTCGAAGAGAGAAATTTTTGAAACAGGGTAGATTACCTGTAGTTTCTCTTATATCAGAAATGCCGCGTACAAGGCATTTACTGAATACTTTTACTATGGACATCTCTCTTGTTACAGTAAGTAGCTATTTATTACTACATGGTCATATATTGTTATGTGTCATATATTATATAATAAATTGTTTATAATTTATTATATAAAGAAATAAAGATGAACTTGTATAATTTATTTTTTATTTATTTACAGCAAACAATGATGTTCATTACAATAACGGGCTACTTCCAACAACTCAATATCAAGGAAGAGCCCATCCGCTATTTCAACCGCACCTTCATAATTGTTCCGGAAGGTGAAGGATATTGCATCCGAAATGAGCAGTTGCATATTAGTCAACCATCTCAGGTGCAGTTAAAGAAATTGCACCAGCAACTGAATCAGTTAAATGCTCAGCAAGCTCAATCAGAAATGGAGATGCTGAGTTCCACAGAAGTGGTGAAGCCTATCGCCACGGAACCCGACGACGAGCTGAAAAAGCAAATGGCATTATAGGCTATTGATTATTCCTTAAAAACCATAGCAATAATGCTTCGTTTCATCCAACATTGTTTTATAATTTTGATGTAGCCCATCAGTATCAGTGCGTTTATTTAAACTGTTTTCTTGGGTATGAATGGCGTAGTTAATAATAATTTATCTAAGACCAGGACATGCTTAAAAAAATGTCCATGATTGTATTATATATTCTTTCTTCACTTTATTTGCAAAATAGGTCGCTTTTGAATAAGTTAATTATTACAATTTTTTTGTCATCAAAAAATAATACTTACAGACATTACATCTTATCTATCAATTCGATCGTTGGTCTTGCGAAATTATTAAGAGAAGAATTCATGTAATTATATTAGCTGAAGAAGACTCAAAAAGGAGTTGAAACGTACTTATTGTTCATTAATAAAGAATTTTATTGAGGATCCGTTTTGGATTATTCACGTACCTACAACAACGGTGTAGGTATACGTTAATAATACAAAACGTTGCACTCTCACATGCCCTTGATTTTTGATGGGAGCTATATAAATTTTATTTTTTTTAATGTGGGGAGCTAACTTTACTACGGTCTTTCAAATTACATATGGTATTCGATACGCGTTTGTCTACTCATAATTTTCTTTTATCTACCTTTCAAAAGAAAGTTATAAACAAATTAAAATTTAACAATTCGCCACTTTTGATATTTTATTTACATCATATTTACATAATTTTAAATTTATTCTAATTCGAAGAAGGAAGAATAATGTATTAAAAATACATGTTCTATATACAAATACACCCAACCAATTATAATTTATGTAATAATATAAAATAGATATATAAATATTATATAGTACATACACTACCGGCCAAAAGTTCGTGAACGCTCCGAATTTTCGAACGCGTCAAATAATATATCATATCAGCGAATTCTTTGAGATATTGAGAAAACCAGTAAGATATCTTTTAAAGTACAGGAATAAAGCTTTCAATTGGTGGATTCAGTTTTATATCAGACATTATAGTCTCTTAGATGTCGTATTTTCAAAATGTTGAATTTTGCGACTTTTTTCTTCCAAATTTTATCTCTGACAGCAAGTGTAAAAAATTTTTCTCGCTATTACCATAATTTTGTATAAATACTTCAGGTCAAGACCTGTAAATTCCATTTTGAGAAAAAAGTCGATGCGATTTTTTGTTCCAAAGTTATGATTTTTTGAAAATTTTCAGTTTTACTCGTTGAGTCAGAATTCTTTGAAAAAAGGCCAAAAGTTCGTGAACATGTAGTTTATTCAAGTTTCGCAAATCGCAATGATACGTTTCTTTTAAAGATGATGCAAAATATTAAAATTTACAAAAAAATAAACTTTTTAAATGTGAACTGCAATTCTTTAAAAAAAAAGCTCCAAAATGTACCAAGCTGAAATTACGTAAATAATTAACAAGGGAACGGTCGGAACTGTCCCTCACCGATTTTGATGCGCTTTGGATATGTTGTAGAGCATCAAAAAATATTCGACCCATATTTTTTTATAGCTGCGTATCTCGAGGTTTAGGGGGTGAAACACCCCCTTGAAGAAAATAGACTTTTTCGTTTTCAGCGAATATCTTCGAAACTATGCCGAATATGAAAAAATGGTTTATACAAAAGTTTAACAGTATTTTATGCTCTATATAATAGTGTATTCATTTTTTTTAAATCAAATTTTTTAATTAACCTCCACCCTCACCTATCAGGGTTGCAAAATTAAAAAAATTTTTAAGAACAAAAATTAAAGAGCATCGGATTCCGAATCCATTCATGTATAATAATGTTATGGTTCTACGATTCAATTTTTCAGAAATCAAGATGATAGTTGTGTTACAGACGCCACGCACGTTATCATCTCGTTTTCTGAAATATTGATATCATGGAACCATAACATTATTATATTGTACATGAATGGATTCGGCATCCGATGTTCTTTAATCTTTGTTCTTAAATTTTTTTTTAATCTGCGACCCTGATAAGTGAGGGTTGGGGTTAATTAAAAATTTGATTAAAAATAAAATAAATACAAAAAAAAAATTAGATTTCTTTCTCCATGATTTGTGTCCTCTCTTTAAAAGCTCTGGTCTGTAGGCTCCTTAAGTGCTGAACTGACTAATAATACCTAAGAAAAAACTTTTAAGCCTGATAGGATTTGAACTCGTGACTCGATCCACGGTCCAGTTCTGAGTCGTTCACCTAACGTACTGCTCCACTGTTACCTTATTGACAGAGATGTTTCGAATTGTCTATATACTTTTAATAAAAATATTTTGTCTACCCAAACAGATTATTTTATTAAAATTACTAACAGAACACTTATTTTGTAATGGCAACAAAATTTTACCTTGTTATTTACAAAAAGTAAGTAAGCAAATAAATTTGTACCGCTAAATAAAAAAATTTACAACATTTTGTTCATTTAACAAAAAAATTGTATTTTGTTATTTTAACAAAATAATTCAATGATAATCAGCTCGGCGTATGATAAGATGGCGGAAAGCGCGCAATTTTTATTACTGCATGCATGAACACAACATGAATGCGTTTTTGCACGCACGTATGATGATCATGCGTGAAGGTAACGTGAATTTTGTGTAAATTATATTCCATTAAAAATTTTTTAAAAAACTTATTCCGATCGGAAATTTAATTATCTACAAAAAATTTCTTATAAAGCATATCGAAATTTTGCTTCGTTCGCGAGAAATATTGAAAAAACTGAAAAAGGTGCTTTTTCACCCCTATCTACGATTTCCACCCTCTAATTTAATAGCACTCCGCGATTTTTTCTTCTTAAATGACCCATTGACCGAATTCAACAATAAAAACCCGTGAACGTATTAGTTTCTTTCTATATGACATAATCAATATAGCCTACTATGCGTTAATTGATATATGTACAGTTCGAAACAATATAAAAGAAATGTATTAAATTAAAATAAAGTTTTGTTTATTCAAAATTTTATTTTAATTAAGTAAATACATTAAATTATATTTATATAATTTTATTTATATAATTTTGCTATCGAGAAGCGATACACCCATATTCTTAAATTCATTTTCCGGAAATCAAAGTGCTGTTAAACTTAATAATGAATTTTTAATATCAATAAATGCAAAATAAATGTTTTAAAACACTTAAGAATGAAAAAAGCTTAGATATAAATATAAATCTAAATATAATATGTGTACATAATATATAACAATATAACACACTTCTTATAATATTACTTCCTAATATACAGTGTAACATATGATAGCCGCCAAGTGGCCAATAGCCTAATTAAAATGCTTAGATTACATACATATGTATGTATGGATCGTATATGTACTTAATCATATTTACGTATGCGTCACGGGGAACCATTTGAAGTTTAGAAATAATCACGTGTATTTTTATGATATATACACAATATAATGGTGAATTGTGCTTTTGGCTGAACAATAGAGTGTAGAAAAGAAAAAAGGACCTGAATCATCATGAAACGCGACACAAGCGAAAAGACAGAAAAGTCGCTCGAAGGTAGTTGACAATCACGTAATAAATTTGTTAGTTCTCGAACTGCCGCTTATTAAGGGGGAATACCACGGTGACGAGTTTAAAAAATCGATTTTTTTTATTGCAATTTTGTAATGCTTGGAGTGTTAAAAATATGTCCCTATAATATTATGTTGAAATTCCTAACGGAACAATAATAAGTATGTGATAGAGTAAAACGTGGTGAGATGCCGCTAGGACATTCAGCAGTCCCCTTGATCTGCTTGTAGGCAGTTTTACCGGTATTCTTTTGTTTCTTGTGTGCTTCAGACGTGAACACTTCATATGCACACGGATTGGACGCACTTTGATTCGTTACGAAATTTTATTGTTATATGTAGATTTATAAACTAATCGGTTGTAATACTTTAAACGTGTTTTTCTCGAAACCACGTTTTTGTAACTAGGCGCTCACATATCTCAACTTATCCAAATGACTTGAATTTTGGACAGAACGTTTACAACGAAATTGTCTTCAGTTGCACGTACGAACTTTTCAATCGGATTATTAGTTTTTGAAAAACAATTAAAAAATAACGATTTTTTGTCGCAAAATCGTGACCTTTTTTTTAAAACAGCGCCATTTTGTCTAAAATTATTTTATCAAAAATTCCGTACGTGCAACTGAAACTACACTCATATACTTTAAAATAAAATAAAAAATAGTATATTATGCATCAAGTGCGAAAAGAATGCCTTTATCGACGAGTGGGAATTTTGCGCACGAGCCGAAGGCGAGTGCGCCAAAAGTCCCACGAGACTCGATAAAGGCATTTCGCACGTCGATGAATACGATATTTTTTGTAACAAATGCACAAATTATTTATTTAAGTAAATAACTTCTTCTGCGTTACTTGTGATTGAAGCCATTGCGTCATCCCAACCCTCACTGTCAACTAACCTAACGATACAATGTTTTCGCATTTTAGAAACGCACAGCGTGCGAAAAATTAAGAAAAAGCTAATTGCGCATGCGCAGTAACATTTTTCGCACAGCGTGCGAAAAACACTCAATTTTCGCACGCTAAACACCCCGAACAACACGCGTTTTTTGTGTATGCGTTACAAAAAAATTATTTCAGAGCTTCCGTGCAGACGCAGCACGAGCGCTCGTGCACCCATGTTTTTTCAGACGAGGTGCACATCAATGAGTACTGAAGCTACAAATATTAATATTATTCAATGAATTTTTTTAAATAATTTCGTAAATGTATATACTTCGCATATATAAAAACAATAATTCATACAAGCTACCAGTTTTCAAAAAAAAATTCACAAAAAGAGCCTTTTTTTCGGCCGTCATCCTGGTGTTCCCCTTAAGGCAATGATTTCGTGATTACAAATTTGTAACACACTTTTGTTTTGATGGTTAACACAATACGTAAATTAATCTCGGTTCCAGTAAATTCGCGATCCGATTCACGCTCATAACGC